ATGCAGGACTCCTGAAAACCTGTCAGTACATTTGTTTGCCCATTCATCACGTACAGGTAAGCAGATACAGTCTGACAGTCTCAATGAACTACCACAGCTCTCAACAGCCACTCAGAAGCCAGCAGCTGCAAAGGCTGTTGGGACTTGAAGTTCATTCATTCACAGAACTCTGTGAATGAATGATGTGCCCTGCACGGCCACGCTGCTTTCAAAAGATGACAGATAGTACGGGGAACTTTTGTTGCTGTCACAGGAAGAGAGGACAGCGGGCGAAGGCTGCAGCAGTGGGAACATGTTACATGTTCCACCCTAAAAACAAGTGTAACGTAACATGTTCCCAAAGGTGAACTTATGCTTTAATTTTGTACTTTAGATTTTTTTTTACCCATTCCAACAAGACTGGTAATATAACTTTAAAGTAAATCTGTGGTCAGGCTATGGATGTTTAAATATTTTAATATTCTGTAAGAGGAACTATACCTTCTTAAGCTCTAGAGATGTGATGTCCGTTAGCTCCCTTACTGGCACTGATATCTTCCAGTAACCTTTCCTGGGTTCAATGTCTCTGGTCATCTTGACTGGCCAATGTAGGATGACATATTTCCCACACATGCACACAGAGTTCTAGGGATTACCTCCTATAGTTCTACTTTAATAAGCAGTACATGAGCTTTAAAACAAACCTTCATTGACCTATAGGTACTGTGAAGCAATTAATCCTCACATTTTACATGACTTTTACATGACTTACATGACATGACAAACTGTTTACAGGAAAAAAGTAGACTCAAATTCATGTTAGTGCAAACAAAACACAATATAATGCCCACTTGTTTGTAGAATACAACATATGAGTTTTTATGGTGTAATATAACAAGCCTCAAAATTGTGGATACCTGTAAAATGCTGAAAAACTCATTCCACTGTAAGTGGCTATACCTAATATGTGTGCCACAATTGTCATTTTCATATGCGTGCACATCCAATGTGAGTATTTGCATTTGTACATCCTTGTATTTGGGGGGGCAGAGAACTTTTATTTTATTTTTTTTTTGGAGGAGGAGCTTTTTAATTTATTCGATTACATTTTTAATTTTTGTCTGTTTATGTGCTGTAACTGCCACCAATGTAATAGTTGTGCGGTGCCGGTGGCAGTGAAAGGATCAAAGATTTGTTAAAGGGTTTATAGCTGCAGTGAATTTGTTTTGTGTGTTTGCTTGTATGTTAAAACAATAAGAATGTGTATACAGTATCACTTTTTCCTTACAGATTCAAAAAGCAAAAGGTTAGTAGGTTAGGGACATGAAACTTATTCCTTTGTTCTGTCTGACCAACCATGCTTTCACCAGTGCTAGTTTAGAGCAGAGATGCTCATTTTTAATGATGTAGGTCCCCCCAAGTAACCATATAACATTTTATCAAAACTCCAACTTAATTTTTGCTTTCATCTTGGGACCTTCAACGGAACACTAATGACTAAACACAATTTCTAACAATCTATGAACCACAACATTTCATATTGGTCATGTCCTCTTTGCAGGCTAGTAGGGATGCACACTGGGAAATGTTACATTGTGTTGCATATAACAGGCAGTATAGGTGTTGAACATACTGATTTACTTAGGGCAAATGGACTGCTCGCTTTGCAAGGAAAATTGCACTTTGCAAGGAAATTTGCTCCAGAGCTTAGTGAATGTGGTGAAGCTCTGGTGACATTCATCATCTAATCAAGGTGCAAGCAAACTGCTGCTTTTTTTTCCTTGCACATGATTGAATTTTATTTGCAAAATTAAACTTCAACACATTCTCTAAGCTCTATGGAAAATTTCAATGCAAAATAGAAAATAAGCAGTTGCCATGGGCAAAACTTTGTGTAAATTACAGTATTTAGTTCAATATAAATAAACAATAGGAGCATAAATTTTGTAACTACTAAGGTGTTAGATTAAGTAACATGAGTGTGTGATATGCAACGCTAACCACCATATTAATTGGTATCAGATATTAGGATACGTTGCTAACAGTTTTCCTTGCCTTTTGTTATTTCTTATTAATTTCATGACCCAAGCATGGATTTTCAGTAAAAATATTGCTGGCCTAGCTTGTGACTATAAATTAAAAAACAAAAAACATATTATATATATATATATACACAGTGGGGCAAAAAAAGTATTTAGTCAGCCACCAATTGTGCATGTTAGTCCTCAGTTCTCCCACTTAAATAGATGAGAGAGGCCTGTAATTGGCATCATAGGTAGACCTCAACTATGAGAGACAAAATGAGAAAAAAAATCCAGACAATCACATTGGCTGATTTGGAAATAATTTATTTGCAAATTATGGTGGAAAATAAGTATTTGGTCAATATCAAAAGTTCATCTCAATACTTTGTTATATATCCTTTGTTGGCAATGACAGAGGTCAATTGTTTCCTGTAAGTCTTCACAAGGTTGGCACACACTGTTGCTGGTATGTTGGCCCATTCCTCCATGCAGATCTCCTCTAGAGCAGTGATGTTTTGGGGCTGTCGCTGGGCAACACAGACTTTCAACTCCCTCCAAAGGTTTTCTATGGGGTTGAGATCTGGAGACTGGGACCTTGAAATGCTTCTTACGAAGCCACTCCTTCGTTGCCCGTTGTATGTTTGGGATCATTGTCATGTTGGAAGATCCAGCCACGTTTCATCTTCAATGCCCTGGCTGATGGAAGGAGGTTTGCGCTCAAAATCTCACAATACATGGCCCCATTCAGTCTGTCCTGTACATGGATCAGTCGTCCTGGTCCCTTTGCGGAGAAACAGCCCCAAAGCATGATGTTGCCACCCCCATGCTTCACAGTAGGTATGGTGTTCTTTGGATGCAACTCAGCATTCTCTCTCCTCCAAACACGACGAGTTGTGTTTCTACCAAACAGTTCTATTTTGGTTTCATCTGACCATATGACATTCTCCTAATCCTCTTCTGGATCATCCAAATGCTCTCTAGCAAACTTCAGACGGGCCCGGACATGTACTGGCTTAATCAGGGGGACATGTCTGGCACTGCAGGATCTGAGTCCCTGGCGGCGTAGTGTGTTACTGATGGTAGCCTTTGTTACGTTGGTCCCAGCTCTCTGCAGGTCATTCACTAGGTCCCCCTGTGTGGTCCTGGGATTTTTGCTCACTGTTCTTGTGATCATTTTGACCCCACGGGGTGAGATCTTGCTTGGAGCCCCAGATCGAGGGAGATTATCAGTGGTCTTGTATGTCTTCCATTTTCTAATTATTGCTCTCACAGTTGATTTGTTCACACTAAGCTGCTTGCCTATTGCAGATTCAGTCTTCCCAGCCTGGTGCAGGTCTACAATTTTGTTTCTGGTGTCCTTCGACAGCTATTTGGTCTTCACCATAGTGGAGTTTGTAGTGTGACTGTTTGAGGTTGTGAACAGGTGTCTTTTATACTGATAACAAGTTCAAACAGGTGCCATTGATACAGGTAATGAGTGCAGGACAGAGGGGCCTCTTAAAGAAGAAGGTACAGGTCTGTGAGAGCCAGAAATCTTGCTTGTTTGTAGATGACCAAATACTTATTTTCCACCATAATTTTAAAATAAATTCTTTCCAAATCAGCCAATGTGATTGGATTTTTTTTCTCATTTTGTCTCTCATAGTTGAGGTCTACCTATGATGCCAATTACAGGCCTCTCTCATCTTTTAAAGTGGGAGAACTTGCACAATTGGTGGCTGACTAAATATTTTTTTGCCCCGCTGTATATATACACATTATATCACAGGGGCACAGTTTTCCAACTGTGCAGGTATTTTGGATCATAAATCCCAAGAGTACAAGCATATTACTGTCTGAAAGACACAACGTTATTTTCCAAGCAAGAAATTCTTTTATCACCAGAAGAAAAAAATAAAATAAAAAGGGCTAAAAATAAACTGAATGGTAAATGTAATATATTCATTTTCTTCTTATATAAAACAATATTTAATCCACCCCCTACTCTCTATAGTTTATTAACATTGCAGATTGACATAATTTCTCATCTGCTATTCTCCCACCACTACAACCTACCATACTTATTTTGCTAATATATGTTAATCCACCCTAAATTCCATTTAACATTCCCTGTGAAATTACTTTCTGGCCCGTCTCATACATTTAAATTAGTGTTTTTTTTTCTTACCACAATGTGTTGGTTATATTAACAAAAAAATAATCTGCCTGTAAGGTTTAATTATGATAAAAGAAAAATTACAATCAGGTGAATAGAAAATACCAACAGTCATATTATGCCTGCTTAGGAGCTAGGCAGTTATGCCTAAATTATTACTGCTGGTGTCCTTTTTCTGTACATGGTTTCAATTGATGTCCATTCAAAACTATATTCTTATGCAGGCCATAGATGGGAGAAAAACGGCAGATTTTTCTTTTAAAAAAACAAAAATTCGGTCGTTCAAGCGGCCGACGTTACCATCAATGGTAAAAAAAAAAATCGGCCGATTTTCATCCCTTCTACAGCCGGCAAAAAGTGTCCCTGCAGAGAGCTCCGCTATTTCTGACAGTTCTCTGACAGTTCCTTCACATTTACAGCGGTTGAAACATTGTATCTATTTGTTTCCATTTAGGATACAGATGTTTTTATTCGGAAACAAATAGATACATTGTTGCAACCGCTGTAAATGTCAAAGAACTGTCAAGAACTGTCAGAAATAGCGGAGCTCTCTGCAGAGACACTTTTTTGCTGGACTGGAATTCTTATTTTCATCCTACTTCTTCTTCTTCTTCTTCTTCTTCATCCTCTTCCTCTTCTTCTTCTTCTTCATCCTCATCCTCTTCTTCTTCTTCTTCTCATCCTCATCCTCATCCTCTTCTTCTTCTTCATCCTCATCCTCATCCTCTTCTTCTTCATCCTCATCTTCTTCTTCTTCTTCATCCTCATCCTCTTCTTCTTCATCCTCTTCTTCTTCATCCTCTTCTTCATCCTTTCTTCTTTTTTTGTCTTCCTCTTGCAGGTCACTGCTCATGCGCAGATTTTTTATCAGCAAAAAATCAGCCGATTTGCCCACTATTGCCGCGAAAATCGGCCGATCGGCAAAATCGGCCGATTTTTTTTTCCAACTTTACAGAACAAAAAAAAAACGGCCAAAATACCGAAAAACAGCCAACCAAATAGCCCACTAACGATCCGAAAAAAATCGGCCGATTTTCGACCCATTTTCGGGTAAATATTGTAAATCCGAAAAAATCATGAATGACACAAGAGATATTTAAGAAAACAAATTATGTTAAAGATTTTCGACCCATCTATGGCCTAGTGGAAACAAGCTCATAGGGAGAAACAAGAGTGGATGTGGGAATATAAACTGCATTAGAATAGGTAAATATTGTAAAATCTGTAGGTAAATATTGTAAATCTGTGGGCAACAAGGAAAGAACACGGATCAGAAAAACAAGGAAGGAACAAGAAGGACACAAATGACTGATAATAGTGTTCTGGCTTGATTTAATGGCTTTTCTGGCTGGACAAACAACCAGGAAGCAGGTTATTTTAAAGAGGGCAATCAGGCATGTCCACACATATTTTCCAACCAATTGTCCCTTTAAACATTCTCACAATGTTCCCTTGAACCACACTACTTTCTCAGAGTCCCCTCTTGTCCCCTTTCTGTTCCCAGTCACCCTCTGCTCTCTCTCTCTCACTCACATCTTCAATCTCTCTCTATTTACTGGCACATTCCCCCCCCTATAAAGCTCTAAAGCATGCACAGATTACTCCCATACTTAAAAAGCCCTCACTGAACACCACCATCCTGAACAGTTTAAGACCCATCTCATTGCTTCCATTCAACTCTAAAGTTTTAGAACGCTTAGTCTACATCTGTCTTAGATCCTACCTCACTGAAAACAACCTTCTTGACCCCTTTCTGTCTGGCTTTCCCTCACAGCACTCCACAGAAACTGCCCTACTAAAACTCCCTAACGATTTTCTAACTGCTAAAACCAATGGCCACTACTCCATACTCTTACTGCTAGACCTCTCTGTGGCCTTTGATACTGATGAGCACCCACTCCTTCTCAATAAACTCTACAGCCTTGGTCTCCAAGATTCTGCTCTATCATGGTTCTCCTCCTACCTATCACAGGGCTCCTTCAATGTTACCTATAACTCTGTCTCCACCTCTCCACTTCCTCTTTCTCTAGGGGTCCCCTAAGGCTCTATTCTCGGACCCCTTCTCTTCTCTATCTAAACCTCCTCTTTTGGTCACTTGATAACCTCCCACGGCTTCCATTACCACCTCTATGCCGACGACACCCAAATCTATCTCTCTACTCCTCACCTCACTTCTTCAGTCTCCTCCCACATTACTAACTTACTAACCGACATATCAACATGGATGTTGCACCACTTCCTTAAACTAAATCTCTCTAAAATCGAGCTGATAATATTCCCCCCACTCTTGCCCTCCTCTATGACTTTTCCATCAAGAACAATAATGCAACTATCAGTCCCTCCCCTCAAGTCAGAGTACTAGGTGTAATTATAGACTCTGTAATGAACATTTGCCTGAAAAAATATTTTTTACAAAATCCCCGTGTTAGGAATTCTCAAGGATCCAATGACACTAGGTATTCAAATTTAAGAAATGCTTCTTTATTTAACCCTCCAGCTGGCAATAATCCCCACATTACTACTTTTAAAACCATGGTCCTCAAAGTTTTGGAAACTTTAAAGGTTAGAAATACAAAACAGACCATAACGTCTCAATAGGCATTTTGAGCCTTTTTGGATAGAAAAGACTTGGATATTAGACCGGCTGATAAGGGGGGAGGGGTAGTGATAAAACAGATTATGTGAAAGAAGCTTATAGAATCCTTGATGATAAAGATACCTATCAAATTTTACCAAAAGATCCTACAGCAATATATATAAAAAAAAAGACTTAAAAAAGCTTACCAAATGTTATAACAACGGCATAATTACTAAAAGGGAAAGGGACTTTTCATGTCCGTAAGCCCCTAGACTCCCTATCCTTTATTGGCTTCCTAAGATTCATACAGACCCTGTCCATCCCCCTGGGCGACCCATTATTAATGGGATTGGCTCTTTGTTCTCTAGAGCTGGTGAATATATAGATGTTTTCCTGCTTTTCCTGCAACCTTTGGTAACTGAAACTCCAGCTTTTCTAAAGGACACTAAACAAGTGTTGAGAGACGTCAAAGATATTGTCAGTACCCCTCCACTTTTTTGGTAACAGCAGACTTGCCTCTTCATATAGTAACAATGGACATAAGGATGGGATGGAAGCTGAGGAATATTACTTAATGGGAGCAGAAAACATTAATGATACACATAGATCTTTCATACTAAAATTACTTGACTTTGATATGTCCCATAACTATTTTTGGTTCAGTAATTTTATTTACAAATTAGAGGGGTGGCGATGGGCGCTAAATTTGATCCCAGTCTGGTCAATCTTTTCATGGCCAGATGGGAGGAGGATCTAATTTACTCTCGAGTTTGGCCTGAATTGACATTCTATCATCGATATATCGATTATGTTATATTCCTATAAAAAGGGGATGAGGAATCTTTGAATAATTTCATTGGTACCCTTAGTAATGACAGTTTGAATATCAATTTAACTCATACATACAGCCAAAGAGAAATTAATTTCCATGATCTAACGTTGATTAGCGATGGCACCATGATTATTACTAAGCCATATTTTAAACCTACGGATAGAAATGGTTTTATTCCTATTGACAGTTGTCATCATCCATTTTGGTTGAAAAACATACCTAGGGGCCAATTTATAAGGATCAGACGTAACTGTCAAGATATGAGAGATTTTTACTTACACGCTAACATCTTAAAGAGGAGATTTCTTGAAAAAGGTTATCAAACAGCCATCTTGGATAATACTATTGAACAGGTAGCTGGGTTAGATAGGGAGCCCTTATTAAGCATTCAGAGGACCAACATATGTTCTAAAATGATTTGTCCCTTTATTACTAAGTTTTTCAGTTCAACATTCGCAAATTAAGAACATCATTACCAAACATTAGGGTATATTAAAAAACGACTCTGTTTTAGGAGACTGTTTACCAGAGAAGCCCGAAGTAATCTTTCGGAGAGCTCCAACTCTTAGAGATAAAATTGCACCCAATATAGTTAATCCCCCTAAGGAAATTTCCCTTTTTTCTGACCTTAAAGTTTTTTTTCCCTGCAACCATTGCATGATCTGTCAATTAAGGGGCAACAGGAGAAAAGAGATTGTCTCATTTGCTTCCAGTATTACCAAAAGAAGTTATAGCATCGATTCCTTTATCTCCTGTAATAACTGTTATGTGGTATACTTGCGGGAATGTTCCTGTAATAAACAATATATTGGAAGAACAACAAGATGCATGAGAGATAGGATAAGGGAACATTTGTATAATATTAAAAAAGGATTTAAAGAACATTCTCTATCCAAACATTGTAGAGATTGCCACAGGAGAAACCCACAAGGCATTAAGTTTACAGGCATTGATATTATACATCCCCACTGGCGAGGATGTAATAAACGTAGGGAGGTGTCCAAACTTTAAACTAAATGGATATATGAGATGTGTACATTGGTGCCCCATGGCTTGAATATAGATATCGATATTAACTGTTTCATAGATAATATCTGAGATATCTGGTATTAATTTCTTATTGTTAACATATTCATTTCTTACCGTTAATGTATTAATTATAATACACCAGTTTAAACAGCCTGTCTTTTTAATTTTTTGGTTACTAATAGTTTGATTTTTATTCACAGTATGATTGGTTTTATTAATCAGTGATGCATCCTATATGTTCATTGAGATATGTTCATGGATCACTGACTTAATAATTTTCTGATATTAGATTATACACAAGTATATATAAATATGTACTATTATACTGAGGTTTGGTACTTTGATAATATATATTTTTTATTTTTTTTCGTTTATTTTTCATTTTTTTTTTTAATATTGCCCACAATTAAATGGCACCTGAAAGGGTGCTGTCGACCTGAACTTAAAAAAAATGGTGCCCAATAATTCTGGATGTGCCTCGTGGGGTATTTAAATATTTCCAGTGTTTTATACTGATAGCAGTATGGTACCCAGTACAATCGAACAATCTTTTTATACGCTTATTTATTGTATACTCCGATTAATTGAGACCACTCTATTATGGACTATGAAAAAATGGCGTTCAGTAATTTCAGACGTGCTCTGCAGGCTGTTTAAATGGTGTCACTTTCTGACGTTGGCAATGGGTGTACCCATGAGTACGTGCATTTCATGCTGACGTCACGCTGCCAGCTCTGTGCCTCAGAACAGCGGACATCTTGGTATGCTGCATGTCTATGTTGTCTAGCTTTTTCCATGTGAAATGTTTTTATGGGTGTTTTAAATAAATACTACACTATATACACCATCTCTTTGAGCTCCGTGTGATCTTTTCCCCTAGGAGTCAATCGGACCAGCGGATGTTGGAGAATGATTGCTACCTAACAAGTAGCCTTCATGTGAATGCATAGTGGTGGTGGATCACTCTGTGGATTCCAGAGCACTGTGTGGAACCAGACACTTGTTGTGACTAGCAATATCACATCACTTTTTCACCGATACACATTGGAAGTACTTTTCTATGCGATGTTTCATTGTTTGCACTGATATATATCTATTGTCATTTATACTTGTGACATATTCACTACTGTTTTATGCGCTGCACTCTGTATATATTTGTTTATTGACATTTATTTTCACTGTCTCAGGTGCTAGCTGCTTTTATTTATTAACGCTCACCGTTTTATTATTTTTTGAAATCCTAGATTCTGACTCAGTCCCAAATCCAATTGCTGTCAAAAGCTTGTAGACTTCACCTCTGTATCATCTCTAAAATTTGACCCTTTTTAAATAATGAAACCACCAAGCTACTCATTCACTCCCTTGTTATCTCTCATCTTGACTATTGCAACTTCCTTCTCATAGGCCTAATTCTCCATAGGCTATCCTCTCTTCAGTCTATCATGAATGCTGCTGCCAGAATCAACTACCTTATCAACCGCTCAGTGTCTGCCACCCCTCTCTACCAATCCCTCCACTAGCTTCCGATTGCCCAGGTAATTTAACACAAAATACTAACAACATACAACTCTTGTCTGCCCAAGCTATATCGCCAATCTTGTCTCCAAATATCACTGAAACTATCCTCTCCATTCCTCTCATCATGACCTCCTGCTCTCAAGCTCCCTTGTTGCCTCCTCCCATGCTCATCTTCAGGACTTCTCCAAAGCCTTTCCCATGCACCTCAATCTGTCCGGCTATCCCCTACTCTGGCTGCCTTTAGGTGATTCCTAAAACAAATCTCTTCAAGGAAGCCTATCATGCCTCCAA